GTGCCGTAACGAACTTATTACTTAAGCTACATCTACCATATTCCTGGGTATTATGATGGACGCATGCTTATAGAGGCAGCATCATGTCGATATGGTATGCCAAAAGGTTAAATACTCGTATATTTGTCTACGCATTTTGTTGCCTTACCTAATTATGAAAGCTAACCAGAGAACGGTGGTGGCATATCATGGGTATGTTGGTTCCGTGCTGAGATATGGGGAAATTCAACATAAATAAGTCGTGCTTTTGTATTACAAAAAAAAAAGTGTATCCGATCAATTTGTACAGTCGGTAAGTTAAATTGTGTAGGCCTCTATTAAAAAAAATTCTTACTTTGCCATCACTTTACATATTCGAAATTTTATTATTTGTAAAAAAAAAACTTAAATCTTATCACAAATATACATCGATCGTTCCATCCTAAAATACAACGTGTCTTAATGGAAATAGTTATAGCATGTTATATGATTTACTTTCTGATCATATCCAAATCTCCGATATCACGCTTTAAGAGAATTATCTTTAAAATGTTGGTTGAAAATTGCTTTTACGATATAAATAAATTTGTGAGATTCTAACGTGAAGTACATATGAAAAAAAAAAACTTATTAAATACAAATTTTGATTGTTATTCTATTTTCTAAATGGGTAGTATTGACTGTAGTAGAATTGTACTTTACTGTAATAAATTTTGATTGTTATTCTATTTTCTAAATGGGTAGTATTGACTGTAGTAGAATTGTACTTTACTGTAATAACAAAGACATGACAATCGCAAAAGATATTGTCATAAATTAATAATATACAGTTAAGTATAGCATTAAAGAATCTATAAATTGTGAAGGTGCTTGGGTAGTTAATTGTGTATTATTGACAATATTTCTTATTATTGTTTTAATTGTAATAACGTTAAAATTACGTTATATTGTTAAGCATTTAGGTATTAGATTATCAAAACAATTATCCAAAATGTACTTACTTATTAGTAGGGAATATCTATACGAAGCGTGGTCGATCTAGTGTGCAGCTGTGTGTACATCCGTCATTAACACTGATTTTAAATAGTTTCAAATTGTCTGCTATAAAATGAGTTCCATTGATTCGCTATCTTAAAGCATAAAAACCGCTGATCTATATTTCCGAATATGTTGACAAAATTCATCACTATTACAAGAATGTTTTGTTTTAAGATGACGCTAACATGATACTTAAATCCATGATATGACCTCTATCAAAGAATGTCTTATTACTGCGAACGAATTAACTGTGGTTACGACACAGACAATGCTACATTTTATTCTAAGTTCTGAACCATTATAACAAGAAATATTGTGAGATTATAATTTCTTATCTAAATCATATACGATCATGAGTAATTTTTAGAGATATGGTTTGTGTTGTGAATTGGAAAAAATAATAATTTATTTTTTCTTTTAATTGTTTGGTTATTTTAAAAGTACACGATATTATAATAAAAGGTAAATATTACGTAATGTCACTAGCGAATTTTGATAGCATATATTAATGCTAATCATAAAATTTTTAATATTACTATTTACTAACTTTGAGGATTCTTTGCATAATAATTCGAGTTTCTATTGATCTCGACTATTGACTCGCAAAATTTTATTAAATATTATTCTGTATAATTTTTTATGATTTGAAAACTTATTCTTTAAGTTTTAACAATTTCGTGATTACGTTAAAAAGTAAATTTAATTGTTTTATTGATGATTAGCTGTGAACAAGATTCTTAGAGAATTGTATCTAAGTAACAATAATTTATTTTTACATTTTTTTTTTCTGAGGATTTCGATGGTGCTGTGGTGTTTGGTCTGCGATGCGAAATATAAGCAACATTGGGTGATCAAATTGTAATATCTTCTTGCTACAAATCAAGAAAAAAATATTGTTAAACACTCATCGGATGATAACGTTGCTTAAGCACTGCACACATTAACAAACAACTGCTAACAATTGCGCCATAGATCTTTTGCGAGTCCTTATAGTTCTATTCGTTTTCGTGTTCATGTATTTGTCATATTAGACAAGTAACTGTCATGTGTTTAGTCAGTATATTTGACAAAATATTGCTTGCTTTTATTTGCTAAAAGGACCAATATATAAAACGTGTTATTCTCTTGAATATAGGCAAGTGAATTATCAACATTATTTATGTCATATATATGTTTTTAAATATTTTGATCTACTTATAGCCTTATAGCCTGCAATTATATATAGCGGTATTGAATGCGAAAAGAATTAACTGTGGCATATTAAAACTGTCCGAATCATCCAACGTACCGAGGTAAAAACATCAAAAGAGTTTATAAATCTATCATTAAATGGAATTAAAAATTCAATAAAAATGACTTTGTTATCACAGGATGGACGAAAGCGATCGAGTAGTTCTCATGAATTCCAATATAATTCCGTCATGCGTCCCTTCTAAGTTGTCATAGGGTGTGCTTCACACGATTTGTTTATTTATATTGTGGACGCCTTTCATCTACTATACGTGAGCAAATAATGAATGTATGACATATCACGAGGCGGTGTGATGACGTCACGGCGGACACGGTCACATCAAAGCACTTCACCTCTAATGATTTATTGTATTTTGTTAGACTCCAGCCCAATTATGATAGCGAAAATTTCGGTGTATCACAGTAATAAAGCATTTACCTCGGGAACACTTTGATGTATAATTAGCCGATGGTGAAGTAAGCTAGATTTAAACACGGACCTGCGATTGGTTGATTGATATACGACGATGCCTGTTTGATATTATATTAATTATAGCGTAATGTCGGACGCGTAACGACGCTCTAAACTAAAAGGAAAATTTTGTTAACGTCATTTCATATGTCTATTTAAAGTTTAACGTATATTGCAAATTGCTTTGTTATCTATTACAATATTGCAACTTGAAATTAACTTGGAATTCAACAAGGACTTTATTTATCAAATCAATTGTATAACTATAATCAATTTGTGTCTTGTTGGTTGTCCGTAAACTAAATAAATCTACACATAGTATAAAACAGTCGCTTCCCGCTGTCTTTACGCTGAGATCTTTCAAAATACATAACAGATCTGATGTGGAATTCGTCACTATACAGAGTGATTTAAGAGGAAGGTTTATATATTAGTACGTATAAATCCAAGACCACGAGGGCGAAGCCGCTGGCGCAAAGCTGGTTATCTGTAAAACACTCAAGTCAAAGTCAAAATAATCTTTATTCAAATAGACTTCTTAAAAGTACTTTTGAATCGTCCAACATTTTTTTCCCTACGTTCAGGACGTCCTTTGGCTGATAAAAAGAACGAGCAAGAAACTCACCAGCTCTAATAAGAGTAATGACATTTACAAAAACCATGTCATTACCAGATCAATACATTATAAACAGAGAGAAAAAATAAAACTATGGTCTTATAATGATAATATAATAATTTAATAATAATGGAAAACAAGATATTTTTTAATATATAAGGAGTTAAAAAAGTAATCACGTATCCAGTTGCTAGATAATCTCAAGTCCAAGCATTCTTATCTGTTATATAATCGGATACCTTATAATAAGCTTTTTAATGAGTATTTTTAAACTGCAATAGTAGATTTAAACTGCATGATATCTAATTTTTGTATTTTGCTCGGAACCTTATTGTAGAAGCGCACACAAAGACCCCTGAATGAGTTATTAACTTTTTGCAGTCTAGTGACAGGCACTGATTTCTTTTACAAACCTAAGGAGTTAACTCTACACGTGGTCAGTCAAATTAAAACGTCTTATTTCTACTGGTAAACTCAGTCATCACTCAGACTTTACTTCGAGTAGATCGTGTTCTTTTGTAAAATTGTTCCAGTAGTTTCGGAGCTATTCAATACAAACAGACAATCAAAACTTTCACATTATAATATTAACTAATATTATCGAAGAAAAGAATTAGTGACGTGACTATAAAACCAGACACTGTAGACATAAAATCGATTTATCGTGGACTGTTTCATCATACGTTCTACCCTAACTTACGTATTGCAATGCCATAGAGTAGAGCTGAATATTATGTATTTAACGATATACAGAAAACTGGTTGTCTTCTCGCGCCTTCACCCATGTAAATTATAGCCTATTTCAACCGCGCATAACGTCACTCCTACTAGGTAAAAGATTTTTTTTTAATTAGACCAGTGCTATACAGTTAGCATTATTATGCGAGTCATTGGCGTATTAATAATAATAAGTCTTTATGGCACATTTTTGTTGCTAAATTACTATATCACAGTATAAACCTATATTATCTAGAAACATATATGTTATGTATTTGGAGAAGATATATGCACTAATTACATTGGACCGCAGGGAGAAAGTACAATGATGAAAAGCAAGTAATCGATACGCCATTGAGATACGATTATTACTTTAGCAGAATTGAGATTAGCACGAATAAATATTTCCTTGTTTATAATTTATTAGTTAAGTGAAACTAACATTGAATAACATAGAGATCTGCCAATTTAACAGATAAATACAATGCGAAGAATAAGAAACTTAAGTTTTTCATTATTTACTAACTTTCCGCCAACGGCTTCGCTCGCGTGGTATACAGCGGGAAGTGATTTTGTGTTATTCTATGTATAAATAAATATCACTACTGTTATTAGTAAGAACTCTTGGGGACGAATGGCTTCAAAGCAACAACAAGGTGAATTCAATTTCAATTAATTTTAGATATCAATTTGTAATTGTTTTCTGTCGAGTAGTCTGTTAGACAGGATTATCCGTTACCATTGAAAATAACTCTTTGACCTCATCTGAACTTTATTTATTCAAATGAAATTATAGTCATAAATGTTGTGATCACATTGTCACTTTAAGATAACTATTTAAAAGGCTAAAACTCATAGTTTAAAACACAGGAAACCATGACCTAGTGTTGATTATGAGATAAAGAAAATATTACAATAGATTTGTTACTAGGAGGATAATGAAAAAACCGATTATTATTTCTGTATTAAATTTTATTGCATCTATTCACACACCTTTCCGTAAACGGTCAAAAGACGTTTGTGATGTCAAGAACAATACAAGTCACTAAGAAATAAATACAAATAATGGGAACAGGAACGATATTTTATTAAAAATAAAACAAAGACTCTTTTGAGCATCTACAAAATGTTCAAGTTATAATGACAATTCGGTATCTAGCTAAAACGGCCATAAACTTTAATCTTATTTTTTGGAAGGAAACTATAAGAATTACAATTTCGTTGTATGTATAACACGAATTAACGTCTCTCATCCGTATATTATTTACATCAATGGACTTCTAATACAGAAAATTTATTGCATTTTACCTTTCTTAAATATCCACGTTATCATTACAATATATATAGTTACAACAGTGACGTATGTACAAAACTATAGACTCAATTTTGGACTTTCAGTCTCTACAATATTGGAAAAAAAATGTACAATGTTGAGAAAACGAATCATGATTATATTTTAAATTTACATTTAACTTTTACAACTATACAAGGCCATCTTAGACTTTTTAATGTCATTTGAAATTGCTTCTAAGTGACAATATTGGGTCAACCTCTTCAAAATATATACAGGACCGGCACGTCATCGTATGTCATTTTGGCTGCTTCTATAGTCAAGCTTATGCCAGCCCGCATCGTTTGGATACTGTCGCGCGTCTTGCATTGTTAGATTGTAAACCTACTCGCGAGAACGGGCCTGAACTTGCGAGAATATTCTACCCCGCGTGGGCGAGATGTCACTTTGACTAGAAGTCCGGTCGCGGATCAGAGAGAAATTCGTACAATGACCTGGCATTAATATCTCTTTCACTCGTGCGCAAATATATGGCTATTGCGCTCGCACACATGCATCGAGCCAATTTTGTCATACTAAAGTAAACCTAAAATGTTTACGATATCTATCTGCAGGCACAAAGATCAACATATGAAATTCTTTCTATTCGGTGACCGGTCTTCTAGTGTGCTTTATGTTACATTATATAGTCTCTTAGGTAGGTCTCGCGCGGACATGGGGGTTATCTGCCCTCTTACCAGCCGTGCTGAAAATAAGCATGATTATATAACCAGCCTTAAATGAAAACTTTGTAATAGTAGATTTACAGATTTCGATAATTTGATCTAATTAATTTGTTGGATAATAAACGTTGCATGTTGGTCCCAAAATCTGAATAATCTTTTGTGACGAAATAGAAATAGTTTTCAGTATCGAGGAAAAACTTCAATGAATGGGTGATATTTTACCTTGGATACTGAAATAAATATATTATTTGTGGAAAAAAACCGTGAATATGGTTAGTTCAATTCATAAATATTGTTGTGAAGTAATTTTATGCCCAGCCCTGTAATATGACCCAGACTCTCAATAACTATAGTTATTAAAGTCGTATAGTTTAGGTCTATTAAATGATTTTAATGATACATGAAAAAATAAGGCATATAATGTTTAACACAGACAAACGTAGTCTTCTGACTAGAAAATGTACAGATTTTTCATCATCATTAACAAATCTGGTATTGATAATTTGTAGACTTAAACTTACACAGAAGCTTGTTAAAACTACTGACCTCGTATGAATAAATATTAAAATTCGATTGACAGATATACTCAGGAAACTATCAAACAATAGAAAACACTGGACGTAGTTAGGCACTAAATATAAAAATGATATTCTCAAATAATTTACAATCTACATACAAATAATAAATCTAAAAACAGTGTTGTTTTTCTATAGAAACATAACACATATTAATACCTATATTTCAGTTAAATCACTTCATTTAACCACTTTCAATAAGAACTACATCAATATGTCGCAAGGTCCAACTTGTATTAGCACCTAGTATTGTCGGTCGGTCGGCGCGAGCGCAGCGCCAACGTCGTTTGCGAGATGTCAACCTCACGGCAGGCGGTGCTCCGGCATGCGTGCACCGCGCTCATGTGTCCACTATCACAAATCTAAGCTTTCTACCGGTGCATAATAATTATCACGTATATATACGTATGTATACATATTTATATATTTTATAAATCACTATTTACAAGTGAGAAGGCCCTCGCGGCACTCGTCGGGCGAGATCGCGGTTATTGTCGATGCGCCAGCGGCGGGCGAGGAACTGGCGGTCAGGCACGCGGCGGTAGCGGCGGTTCAGCCAGTGACGAGGTCGACGAGGAGGACGGTGACGGGGCAGGAGGGGCTGGTGCTGGCGCTGACAATGCCAGTGACCGTGAGTATTCCAAAAGAGCTACGTCAGCTGGATGCGTCGGCGGATAAAGGCCACGATACAATTCAGGCCGGCCATACGGGTGAGCCAATCTCGCTGCTGCTGCCGCTGCAGCGGTTTGATAAAACGCAGAAGCCGAAGAAGGAGGCGTCGGTGCCTCGCCCTCTTTGCTCGCCATGTCCGCTAGTGACCATATTCTTGGCTTAGCGGACGCAGGTGTGCTACCTGGTGGCGCTCGAGCTGGAAGATGTTGGTACGCGGGATGCAACGGTCTCTCGTATGGTTCTGGTGATTCTGGCCCGCTGTCAGCCCTTGACTCAGACCACTCGGACTCAGTTCTTTGCCCCAATAAATCTAACCTCTGCTGAGGTCTATCACCATCCTCACTGGAACCAGTACCCGAATCTTTTCCATCTAAAAATAGAATGTATTATTATGAAAAGTTTATAAAATGTATTCCTAATCATCACGACCGTCTTTGTGTATGTGTTGAATAATTCTTATTTAGTTTATACATTAATTACATACCCAGAGCATCCTTGCCGTCGTTGCTTTTATGGTCATCGTCATCATTATTATTGTCGTCGTCGTCGACCCTATTCCTGGGTTCCCAGGTCATTTTGTTTTCTTTTTTGAGGCGTCGGCGTGCATTAGCAAACCACGTGGAAACTTGTGTCAGTGTCATTTTCGTGATGATCGCAAGCATTATCTTCTCGCCTTTCGTCGGATAAGGATTTTTCTTGTGCTCGTTTAGCCAAGCTTTGAGTGTACTCGTTGTCTCACGAGTGGCATTTTTTCTCCGCGCCCCATTGAGGTCCATTCCGTATCTGTTAACAAATATTAAGACATCAGTACAATGACCAACTATCATTTATTAGAAAAGGCATCTAAGTAAATAAAATATGTTGTGTATTATTATATTAAAAAGAAAAGGATAGCTTCAGAAATTTCGAAACAAAAAAGTGTAATCTTAGATTTTAACAGACAAAATAATACTATTTATCGAGAAGGATAATTAAATACTATTGTTAACGTTACATTTGCAACTTCAAACAGTTACAAATGTGATGGTTTTTTTAATCACGTTACAATAAAAAAATATGAAAGTGCAATCAGTCTTAAATGTGGAGTTTGATTTTAGCGAGATCACTGATAATTCGAATCGAGCCCGCCCCCAATCCGCAGCTCGTCCTCCTGTGATCACTTCGCATGGGCCAATGAAAGCGCCAGCATAATAATTGAAATCGAGATAAGCCATCAACTGCTCTCTCAACGCTAAGCTCCAGCTTATCTCAGACGTAGCTACAAACACATTTGCTGCCGGACCACGCGCCGTTATTTGAATTGTCCTATCTTTATTAGGATGCAGTCCCCGTATCGCATTTCTATTAAGCTTTGTAAATGGTTCACTTAGTTCAGGCGCGATATTACAGAATTGTTTTTTTTTTGTTTGGGGTCCTTATTGTTGATTGTAAATGCTGATAAATGTTTGCTTTTCGACGTAATATCATTCGTCCAATATTCTTTGATCACTGATTTTAGGAAAGAACAGAAAGGCCAGTTCATAAATATAGGTATGTAAAAGTTATCTAGTTGCGATGTTTTCATTTATGATGTTTTTTTTTTTGTAGTCATGACTCAAATGGCGTCGTCGTCCATACAATTGTGTGTGGTGAAACCTTAGAAATATAACTTTCCTTCACTTCCGTCACATGGCCTACAAAAAATATAGCACTGGAAGTTTCATCTACGAGGGCGAAAAGCTAAAATATTTCGAATAAAATATGTGCACAAAAAAAAGAATTTTACGATGTATTCTTTGTTTACAAAATAATTTTTATTACTTCAGCTGTAAAACGAAGTTGAGTAAACTCAAACGTTGTGTGTATTGGAGATTTTCTTCTTTAACACAAGTTGATTCCATATGCTGCCAATGTAGTCTCTCGGAAACAGAATAGGGTGAAAAATAGGGATAGGTAGTATGGGAAATTAATAAAACTGTCACTTAAATCGCAGAAGTGACGGGCAGCGCCCCTAAAGGGGAACCCTGCAATCTATTTTGAGTCTTACGTATAGTCATTATGGTCAGAATTCATTATTATATTTTCTACAACGAACTCACCATTGTTAAGTGAAATGTTGACTTAATTCTGTTTGTCCCCCATCAAAAGACTCTTCGCTATAAATAACAATACACAATTATCATTCGTTGCTAATGCTCTTTAACAGCTGGAAATCTTACTTTCTCCTCTTTTTAAAGTAACATTACTGTATGACAATTTGTGGATAAAACGCCTGTTTAAAGACGACATAACTTTAATGACGTTTGCCTGGCAACGGGCTCTGTGAATGAACTAACATCCATAGAATTCAAGTAACAATACGAAAGTGGAGCGACGCCAAGCCGAGCTTAGGCGTATTCCACAAACAAAAAAGCTTCATTTATCCATGGCGTGCCACTTTCACAGTATCCGAGCTCGCGGGGATAGCGCGACGTCAATTTTTTTTTCTTATTATTTCGCTTCCCCCGCAGCGTGGCCGCGCCCCAGGCGGTTGCGGCCGCCCGCCCGCCTCACTACCACCTCGACTTCAATTAAATCTCAATTTCTCGCACCACCTCATGCTTCCTACTAAAACTCGTAAAAATGAGATAAACACTGAAATATCGCTCACTATATTATTTACTACTAGTTGTTATCAAATACCGTTATAACTGTTTATAGCGGCTACAGTATACGATCCGATTAGAATATTTTCTTTTAGGTCGAAACGTACTTTTAGCTAATTAATTTGTTTTTATCTAAGGGTCTAAATCAAAAGGGTGTTGAGGTGTGTCTGTTTCGTGAGGGCAATAAAAGCAGGCGTCACGGGGCGGGTGCGAACAAGAGTCATAATAATGAAATAAAGGTGAGAGAACGAATTGTTTCGGACAAGAGCTCGTTGGATATATCTCAGCAACACGTCACTCTGCTCACATCTCAGATGGTCTAAATAGCATTTAATTGAATGTTATCCAAAGATGTAAAGTATTTTTGTCGAAGTAGACCTTGGTGTTATATTCGATTTGATTCATAAAAAAATATGAATTTTAGGGATAAATTTCTATGAACTTTAGGGATAATTTTCTACTACATAATATATTATTACCACCTTTAGAAATAGGACTAAATTTTTTCACTTTGAATTACAGCTTTCGTTATGTTTTTGGTACAAAACCCATCGAGGATTTTGTACCTATCTTAAGTACTACTTACTACTCTTTCTTATGTGCCTATATTTTTCTCAATAATCAAGGAAAAACTAAGAAATTTATAAGTACCTAAAATTTTTTTGCAAGAACAAAATCATTAGCTCATTGAAAACTAAATCATATAGATTACATTAATATTAACAAGAACTATATATAAGTATATATAAGAGAAAATCTATACCTACATAATTATTATTACTTTGGTGACGTGTTGTATGAATGGTAGGAAAAAATGGAAGACTCATAGTACCTTCAATATGCTTATTCGAATAAATGATACTTTAATTTTATTTCAATTGTTTTGAAAAAGTGGTAATTTCAAGGAAATATATTAACTATACATGTCGCAGAATCAAAATAACTTAAATCAATTCTACCAATGAATCGGAAAATCTACATTTTTACTTATATGTTAGTTAAATTCAAGGAAGCTAAGTCTGTGTTTAAGATATCATAACTTGTAACAGATTTTATTCATAGTAGGACAATCCTAGCCTAGATCCCGGATCCCACGCCCCCATCGGTAGTATTCCGCAGCGAATTCTACCATAAAGGCAACCATACTTCAACTAAGATCTCATGACAGGAAGCCCTGATTTAAGTGTTTATTTTCCCTGTGTTATCATAAAAGAACGATCCTAACTCATTACATTTTTTATACGTTTTTAGCTCAGCTTGATTTGCAGCTTGAAAATCGAAAATAAAATTCCTGTTACTTGTTTTTCTGTCTACCGTTAAATTCAACTTAGTTCTTCTTACCTCCGAGTCAGAACAATTTGTGACTTACGCCTTTTAAAATGGTTAAATTGGTACACTAATTTTTTTAAGTTATTATGAGTGCTTATATCAGTTGAAATAAAATATTTTTTATCTTATACATTATTATTACTAAGTTTTTTTTATTTTTTTATTACATATATTTTTTTTTTCAATAAATATAGTTAATCTTAAAAAACAGGCATGTGGATCAGTTCACAGGTATATGATTTGATTAATTGAATATTTTTCCCTTTCGTGACACTTTACCGCAAAATAACAATTATTATAATCCAAACCTCCATTTCAGCAACTAATCAAACGAAGGAGGAGGTAAAGGAGGTTATTAAGAATACTGTTGCCATATTTGTTCAAGGGAACTTAGTATAAGGAATACTAGTTCTTAATTTATTATCCGCTTCACGGAAACAGCTTCGACACTACTAGATATATGAGTCTCTAAAAGAACTCGTTTGTGACATATGTTTTATAAGGTTATGTGTCTAAATAGAAATGATGCTATTTCGGATGTTAACAAATTCACTACTAATGACTACGTTGCTCGAAAAGAAGTGAAGGATTGTACGTAACACAATCTCCAGTTTTTGTGTGAGTGATCGCACCGAATCCAGTTAAAAGAACTAAAAGATATAATGTTTCAACAACAGTTCGAATATACCAATGACATCGTCCGTGGCGTATAAAATTACACGGTGCGACATTTTGTAAGGTAATAGATGTACATTTTTTTTATTATTATTCCCCAACTAGTTATCTACACGAGAAACCATGCACTATGAGGTGTTTTTTTTAAGAAGTTAATACTCAGTGACAGTTTAGTTTAAAAATGCTTTAAAGGACGACATGTCTTGTGGCGCGAGTATCGTATTCCGTGTGTCATCTTAATCGCATTTCACACTCAGCCAACGCTGAAAGGTATAACAATGTTGGAAACCGATCTAGACTAAGTGTTAGTAATACATAATACAGACTACAACTTTCACATATAAAAGTGTACATTATAATATTGATTAAAATGCCAACAACTACTCGGAATTTGTATCATGAAAAAGTCGAGTTTTCAACACGAACACGCCTTCCACAATACAAGTAAATTACCATGTTAGTAAAAGTGATCTCTGATAAAGCTAATTATTCGTCGTCGTAATATGGCAACGGGCACACGCAACGACCAATCTCGGGCTACGGACGGTGTTTTAAAAGGTACGACACAGGTCCTAAATATTGGTGGGCAGATAGGGCGGTAGGGGCGCGGCACGCTATAAACACATTACCAGCCGGCAACGCGCTATTACGGCCAACCGCACGCGTCGCTGCTGGCCGATAGCTGCCACCCGAACATGCTATCCGGCGACTAATTGGTCAGTTCAATGCATAAAAACCCCTAATAGAAACAACTGTGGCACGGGAAGCCCGCTCCGCAGATTAAAACTTAAATAATCAAATTACATGAAGTAACACCGGCGGACGGTTCAGCGGCCTACGAAAATACTTTGGACACGTTTTGAATGAAGGGCCAATCGTTAGGTGGGTAAGGTGGTATGAAGGGCGTGTTATCTAGACGTTAGGGCGGCGCATGTCACTTGACAAACGAACCGTTAACACACCACCGGTGGTAACAATACGCCATCTTTGTTTTTGTTTCAAGGGGTTAGGTAGGTACGTTCGAGTTTTTCAATGTTAATTTAAACTACTTGTCGGTTAAACGTCAAAAAGATCGATACAAAAAACGTGGTTCATTGATTGTATTTATGTAATTACATATATAATACACTTAAGCATAAATCAATGTCAGTATTG